TAAATTAATCTCAATCTCTCTCTCTCTCTCTCTCTCTCTCTCTCTCTCTCTCTCTCTCTCCCCTCCCTCCCTCTCTCCCCCCCACTCTCTTTTCTTAGTTCTAGGTTGCTTCTCCCCAGGGAAACTAATCAAGGAGAGAAGCAACTAGAACTAAGAAGATATTTCCTGACAATTAACAGTGGAACAACTTGACTCCAGAAGTTGTGAATGCTCCACCACTGGAAGTGTTTAAGAAGAGATTGGGCAACCATTTGTCTGAAATGGTATAGGGTTTCCTACCTAAAAGGGGGTTGGACTAGAAGACCTCTAAGGCCCCTTCCAAATTTGTTATATCTAGAACAAAGATGGGTTGCTCCCGGTTTCGCCCAGATCGGGCAAACCGGTAGTAGTGGCGGCGAGAGGCTCCGCTCACCTGCCCAGACGCTTCTGCACATGCGCAGAAGCATTGCCCGTGCGCGCGAGCCAGTAGTAAAAAAAATGGAAACCTACCATTGAATTAGAAGTCCCAGCCTGGAGAAAGTTGCCTCCCACACAGCTGATGCTGATTTACTGAAAGCCACCATCACCTGAAATGTGATGATGGCAGGGGGTTGGACTAGATTCTAGAAGACCTCCAAGGTCCTTTCCAACTCTGTTATTCTATTCTATTCTATTCGAAGTGGATGATCAGAATAAAAATAATGGCAACTTTTGCCCAGCTTTTTAGAGCTACGTTGCTCTTCGCTTCTTGCCCTCTTCAGCTGGACTTCTTTTTCATACAGTGAAGGAAAGAAATGGGTTTACCTGACAGGGAAAACCAGTATTTTACTTCACCACGCTTGAGCAAGAAAGAAGGAACCATTGTCTTCAGAACTTTATAACAGCAACAACAACGCAACAGCTTTCAAGCAAATACCAGCTAATTAAAGGGAAACTGTTGCCTCAGCTTTGCCCTGGCTGGAGCAAATGCTTGGTGCCAGGATTTCTCACCCCAAGGTAAATGTGTTTATGAGATGGGATGTTTGGCCTCCCTGCATGTCTGCAAAAACTTAACACTTCAGCTCCCAGATATCTAGGGGAACCAGAATATTATCATTCCTTGGTATGTGCAGCTTGGCTACCCATAGCTAAAGACGCATAAGGATGAGGCCTCTGTGTTTAGGAGGCTTCAAGCAAAAGCCTCTTGCACAGCTCAAACCACCCCATCCTGCTGGAATTCTTCTAGACAGGTAGTCCAATTGTGTGGGTAATTTAAGACTTAAATATTTACTATCTGATTGTCTTAGGGCAATTACAGGTTACTTCACTGAGTAGCGGAAGAGCAAACAGAATAATGTGCATCTGTTTCTTTTGTAGACTATTTTGATGAGACACGAAGAGCTCAGAGTCTCTTACTCAGTTTCAAAATTGTGCTCTCTTATTCTATAGCACATCTGCGCTTTCTCAGTTGCCCATATAATATTAGACACATGTGGTTATTACTAAGGCTTCCAGCATTGCTCCAAAAGGAAATTTACTCCAGCATTTTTCTCTTGTCCAAGCAATTACTCTAGAAACCCACTTTTTTGTGTGAGATTCTACTCGTACACCATCTAGAGTTCCTTTGTGAGGGAGATTAGGAGTTTCTAAATTAGATGCTAGATGATAGATAGATAGATAGATAGATAGATAGATAGATAGATAGATAGATAGATAGATAGATAGATAGATAGATAGATAGATGATAGATAGATTAGATAGATG